AATCCCTCCAGCCTTCCTTTTGCTTTGCACACAATTCCATGCAAAGTGTTTGCACGTATATGTACTAAATTCTAAGTAAACATTTAATATATTTCGTATTCCCCTTCTTGAGTGGATGTTGCTACCTTTAGTGGCAGTTGAGCTCTGTAAGGCTTATTCTACTCTCAATTTCTGTGACTTTCAATCACATCACATTTACAACAGCGACCAAAGTAACAACGGCACAGAAACACGTGACTTACGACCATTTTTTTCATACTTATGACTGTTGCAGCCTGATCCAAATCCAGAGGCTTGGCAACTGGCATGGACTCCTGACGGTTGCAGCCTCTCTGTGATCACATGATCCAAATTCAGACCCTTGGCCACTGACTCATACTTACGACGGTTACAGCGTCTCAAGGGGGGGTGTCACACGATCCCCTTTTGCGATGAATAGAGTCAATGGGGAATGCCAGATTCACTTAACAACCGTGTTGCTAATTTAACAACTGCAATGATGATTCACTTCATTGTGGCAAGAGAGGCTGTAGAACGGGGCAGAACTCGTGTCAAATGTCTCACTTAATGGAGACAGAAATCTGGGGCTCCATTGCAGTCGTAAGTCGAGGAGCCTCTGTGGCGCAGTGGTTAAGAGTGCAGCATTGCAAGCTACTTCTGCAGCCAGCTGCCTACAATTTGGCAGTTTGAATCCCACCAGGCTCAAGGTTGACTCAGCCTTCCATCCTTCCAAGATGGGTAAAATGAGGACCCAGATTTTGGGGGGAAAGAGGCTGACTCTGTTATCTGCTTAGAGAAAGCTGGAAAGCACTATAAAGCAAAATATAAGTCTAAGTGCTATTGCTATTATCCATAAAAGCAAGTATTTTTTTAAAATGTATTTATATTTACATACCCGGAGAAGGAATTTGCCAAATCAATTTTAAAAGAAAACAATTTCTTTCTGCCCTCCTATTTTTTATTTTGCAATCTGTCTGTCATTCAAGGTGTTCTTAAGTCCCCTTTGAGAATGGAGAAACACTGGAAGTGTAAAGACACATCGGGCGCATTTCATCACATGTGGTGGCCCTGCGATGCTGCAAAGCAATATTGGGGACTGATTCAAACATGGACGGAAAAATGGCGGTATAGTGTATTCCATTTAAACCGGAATTTTTTTCTCCTTGAAATAATATCAGAAAAATTTAAGAATAATGTATCTAACGGTACATGTATTGATGGAGGCTAAAATAATATATGCACAATACTGGAAAAATGAAATCATACCTCCAGAAACAGAAATAATAAGAAAAAAAAATATGGCCTGTGCAGAATCTGATAGGTTAACTTTTGCAATACAAGATAAAGGAGAGTCGAAATATGATAAAACATGGAATCAATTTAATCAATGGTTATATAAGCAGAAGACAAGGTAGAAGTATTAGTAGTTATGATTAATTAGTAATTACTATATTAAATAAGGAGATTACAAATGATGAAGTAAAATGTATATATGTATAACAAAGTTAAGTTGGATGTATTGTGTTGTATTCTCATGATTAAAATTAAAAATAAATAAATAAAAAGAGAATGGAGAAACATGAAATGAAACTATTTTGGCCTGTTTTATTCATTGCCAAAGTTATGTCTGTGGCATTTCTGGGCACGGCGTTGTTTCCTGAAATCCGAAACCTGGAGATTAAGGTTTATATCATCCCGGAAACAGCACAGTTGGCATGGAGTAGGCTACTAACAGGTGCTGCTAATACCTCCGTGCCACCCTTGAGAAGAGGCACGGATCAGTGGCCAGGAAGCTGCTGAGATTTTTACGAAGCCCTGAAGTTACAAGCAGCCGGCTTCATTTGGCCACGACTGGGTTTCCCTAATAAAGGAGAATATTTTGTAGATCAGGGTTGAACGGTTGGGGGTGTTTGGTGCTCTCGGAGTTTGGTGAGTTTTCTTGCAGACATTTTGTTCCCAAACTAGGTAGTGTCATCAATGCGCCGATGATGCAACCTAGTTTGGGTGATGAAATATTTGCAGCAACAACAACCAAGCTCAGAGAGCACCAAGGACCCCGGAGTCGTCCTTCTTCTCTCTGCAAACCCCACTCCTTATTAGCACTGATGATGTAACCTAACTGGGTAATGAAATGTTTGCAAGAAAACAGCCAAGCTCAGAGAGCACTGAGGAACCCACAGTATTCTCCTCCTCCTTCCTCTTTCTCCTTCCTCTCCTCCTCCTTCTCTCTGCAAACCCCACTCCTTACTAGCCTGATGAAGTAATGTAGTTGGGTAATGAAACGTCGCCAAGAAAACAACCAAGCTCAGAGAGCACTAAGGAACCACAGTTCTCCTCCTCCTCTGGCAAACCTATGGCACGCGTGCCAGAAGTGACATGTAGCCGGCACATGAGCAGTCGCCCCAGATCAGGTGCATTGCGCATGCGCACACCCCTCCCACCAGCCAACTGTCGCGTAGCTGCTGCGCATACGTAAGGGGGGCACATGTGCGTGCTTGCCCAGTGGCGCATAGCATACGCGTGGGGTTAGGAGCGCACGCGCAGATGCTCACGGTGCACGAGGGATTGTGCACAGGGGCTGTGGTGTGCAGTGTACGTGCAGGGGGCGGGGGGGTCACGCACGCAGTGCATTATGGGTGCCGGCCATCACTGTTATATATTGAGTGGTGCGGTGGCCTAGAGGTGGAGCTCTCGCCTCACAATCCAGAGGCTGTGAGTTCGATCCTAGGTACAGGCAGATATTCCTTTCTTTGGGCACACTTGAGAATATATCTGCTGAACAAAACTCCGCCCTGGCAATAGGAAGGGCATCCGGCCATTGAAACACTCAGCTCCATTCAGTTGCCCAGACTCCACCCCGCAAGGGATTGTGTTAAAAGAAAGAAGAAAAGTCCACAGAAGGACTCCCCTTGCCTTCCTTCTATGTATTCTGTCTAATAAATCGCTATACCAGGAGGACTTTTGAAAAATTCCTGCTATTTCCTCACAGGATGCAATAAAAATAAATAAATAGGGAGGTGGAAACTTAACACAAGGAGAGGATTGTGTTATGTCAGATATTTGGCTGGCATTCGAACTCTTATTGTTGTCCATAAACACGGCAGGCCAGCAATCTTGCCCAAGAGAGAAAAAGTTCATAATCCTATTTTTTTTTTCCCAGTGGAAAAACGGAAAAGTCGATCCAACGAATTAATAAAATAACATTCAAAATAAGAAGCCCGTTCGTTATTTCCTGCTCTGAAAACCAGTTGTAACGTTAGCCAGTTTTGGGGAAACCACAGAAGGTTCTCCACCGACGACCCAAGCGGTCCTCGCCTTACGACAAGCAACGGAGCCCAACCGCAATTGTCGCTAAGTGTTAAGGAACTTTTGTCCCCTTTTTAGGACCTTTCTGGTTACTTTTGCGAAGCGAATCACTGCCGTTGTTAAGCAAGTAACATGGTTGTTAAGCAAAGCTGGCTTCCCCCTGGATTTTGCTCGCCGGGAGGTCACAAAAGAGAATCACGTGACTCCAGGAAACTGCAACCATCATAAATACGAGTCAATTCCTTAACAAATGTCTCGCTTAGCAACAGAAATGTTGGGCTCAATTGTTGTAAAAGAGAGCATAATTCACTTAAGTTTCTCGCTGAGCAGTGGAAAGTTTGGGAGTCAGTTGTAGTCGTAAGTCGAGGAATAAATATATAACGTATATATATATTCCTCGAATTACGACTGTTCTGTTATTTTGAGAGAAAGGTTTCCTGCTTGAGCAGGGGGTCAGACTAGAAGACCTTCAAAATCCCTTCCAACTCTGCCATTCTGTTATTCTGAGGAGAGAAAGCTTTCCTATTTGATCAGAGGGTCAGGCTAGAAGACCTCAAGATCCGTTCCAACTTTGCCATTCTGTTATTTTGAGGAGAGAAAGGTTTCCTGCATGAGCAGGGGGTCAGACTACAAGACCTCTAAGATCCCTTCCAGTTCTGTTATTCTATTATTCTGAGGAGACAAGGATTTCCGCTTGAGCAGGGGGTCAGACTAGAAGACCTCCAAAATCCCTTCCAACTCTGCCATTCTGTTATTCTGAGGAGAGAAAGCTTTCCTATTTGATCAGAGGGTCAGGCTAGAAGACCTCAAGATCCCTTCCAACTCTGCCATTCTGTTATTCTGAGGAGAGAAAGCTTTCCTATTTGATCAGAGGGTCAGGCTAGAAGACCCCAAGATCCCTTCCAACTCTGTGATTCTGAGCAGGGGGAGAGAGAGAGCGCTTCCCTGCTTGAGGGGGGGGGGGGTCAGACTACTAGACCTCCGAGGCCCCTTCCCCACTCTCTTGGCCCCTCTGTGATTTCTGCAAAAAAAAAATTGGCCCAAGAGGCAGTAGAGAACTTGGGGGGGGGGGGAAGGGGAGGGGGAGCCTTGTGGGCCCCCCTACTGGGAGACCCTCCCCCCCATGGATAAAACTCGGGTGGGGGGGAAGGAGTGTCACATCTCCCTTATGGACCCCCCCCACTCCAAAGAAAAAAAAAATGAAGTGCCTGGGGTGCAAATGGCGTGCAAGCCCCCTCCTCCTCGTCTCCGCCCCTCCCCATTGAAAAAAAAAGGGGGGAAGGGGTGGTTGCTACATGCAAAGGGGGAGGGGTGGATTCGAGGGGAAAGGGAGGGGGAGCAGGGGATTCCCTTCCTCCGACTCCAAAGGGGGGGAGGGGGGGCTTCCCCTGGAAAGAAACCCCCCCCACCCCACCCCCCGGCCCCAAATAAATAAAAGCTTTGCAAAACAGAAAAAAAAATAAGCAAAGCTGACTTAGCAAAGGCGGAGGAAAGAGGGAGGTGGGAGACGTTTGGCTGCCTCGGGGGGGCCCCTCCTCCTTCCTCCCGCCCATTGCAAACCGGGCCCTCGGGGCTGCAGGAGGGGGGGGTGCAGGAGGGGAGGGGGAGACCCCAACCAGCCTGCATGGGCACCGCCCCCCCCTCCCCAAAGCTCTCCCCCCCCTGGCCTGGCCACCCTTTGCGCATCTGCCTACCCTGCTCCGTGGCTGCTGCTCCGTCGCCTCCTCTTCCTCCTCCTCCTCCTCTTGGCCGCCGCCGCTTCTCGCGAGAGCGGAGACTTCCTTGCAAGCAGCAGCCGGCCTGGGGGGGGGTGGCGGGGGGGGGGGGGGGGCTCCCCCCGGAGAGGGGGGGGGGGGGGGGGGGAGGTCTCAGGGGAGCCCGCGTGCGCCCTGCTTTGGGGAGGGGTGCGCGCTTGGAAAGCAAAAGTTGGGGGGGGGCTTTGGATTGGGGCGCTACAAAGCGCTCTAGGTATTCCCCATGGCACCCTTCCCTTTGCTCCCCGCTCTTTTTTGGGGGGGGTGGGGTGGGGGTGGGTCCTTCCAATGGGTGGGTGGGGGTTTCTTGGGCCTTCACTGAGCTTGCTGTTTTGTTTTTTGCAAGCGTCTGAATAGACGTTGGATACTCTTCCTCCTCTCAGTAAACAGCACTCCCTGCTGGCACTGATGAGGTTCCCTAGTTGGGTCATGAAACGTCTGCAAGGAAACAAGCACGCTCAGAGAACACTGAGGAACCCACAGTTCTCCTCCTCCTCCTCCTCTTCCACTTCCTCCTCATCTTCTTCCTCCTCATCTTCTTCCTCCTCCTCCCTTCCTCCTTCTCATCTTCTTCCTCCTTCTCCTCTTTCTCTTCTTCTCATCTTCCTCCTCCTCTTCCTCCTTCTCCTCTTCTTCCTCCTCCTCTTCCTCTCCACAATACCTTCTCCCTTCTAGCACAGATGATGTTGCCTAGTTGGGTCATGAAACGTCTGCAAGGAAACAACCCAGCTCAGAGACCACCAAGGACCCCACAGGCATTGTTCTCCTCCTCCTCTTCCTCCTTCTCCTCCTCCCCCCTGTAAACCCCATTCCCATGTGGCACTGAGGATGTTACCTAGTTGGGTCATGAAACGTCTGCAGGAATACAAGCAAGCTCAGAGAGCACTGAGGAACTCTCAGTCCTCCTATTCTTCTTCCTCCTCCTCCTCCTCCTCCTCTTCCTCTGTCCCCTTCCTGCAACTGTTACTCCCTGCTAGCACTGATGATGTTGCCTAGTTGGGTCGTGAAACGTCTGCAAGAAAACAAGCCATCTCACAGAGGACCAAGGACTCCTCCTCCTCCTCCTCTTTGCAAACATCGCTCCCTTCTAGCACTGATGATGTTCCCTAGTTGGGTCATGAAACATCTGCAAGAAAACAACCAAGCTCAGAGAGCACCAAGGACCCCACAGTCATTGTTCTCCTCCTCCTCTTCCTCCTCCTCCTCCTCCTCCACCCTGTAAACCCCACTCCCTTCTAACACTGATGGTGTTCCGTAGTTGGGTCGTAAAATGTCTGCAAGCAAAAAACGAGCTCAGGGAGCACCAAAGGACCCCTCATTTCAACCCTGGGCTACAAATATTCTCCTTTATTGCGGTGCAGATGGCTTAGCGCAGAAAGGAAATCCCTCCCCAGTTTGGAATTCCCCCCCCCCCTCCAAAGAAAACCTCTCCCTGGAGAGAAGACCTAACGCCGCTTGGTGGCTGCTGAACCCGAAGATGTTACTGCTACTCAGAGGATGCGGTTTGGGGGCACTGCAAGAGGCGGGCAGGGGGGGAGGGGCTCTTCCAATGCAAACACACGAAACTTTTGCAGAGTTTTTTTTTTCCCTCGAGGTGCCCTCTGCAACCCTACTGGGGTTTGAAGAAACAAAATTCACCAAGTTTGCAAGTTTGAGTTAAATAAAAGCGGGTGTCCCCTGGATAAAAAGGGACTTTAGACCATTTTTCACACTTATGACCTGTCCGCATCCCCATCAAAATTCAGAGGCTTGGCAACTGGCATGGACTTAATGATGGTTGCAGTTTCCTGGGGTCACGTGGGGGAAGCCAAATTCACTTAAAAACTGCCGTGGAATTGCCTTCTGGTGCTTTGGAGAATAAATTGATCCCCCCCTTTTCTTTGGGGCAGCCCCTCCTGCTATCGTGTCACCCCCAGTCCTCCTTTTCTCTAGACTGGCCAACCCAAATCTGCAACCGTTCTTCGTGTGTTTTAATCTCCAGGCCTTTAATCATCTTGGTTGCTCTTCTCTGAGCTTTTTCCAAAATCTCAACCTCTTTTTTTGTAACCAAAACTGCATGCAAGTATTCCAGGTATGGCCTTACTAAGGCTTTACAAAGCAGTGCTACTAACCCTCCACCTGATCTTGATTCTATGCCTCGGTTTATATAATCAAGGATCGCATTAGCTTTTTTGGCTGCTGCCGCACACAGCCAGCTTTTCTTTTAAAAAAAAAAAATATTTTAAAATTTTAATTATGAGAATACAACACAATATATCCAACTTAGCCTTGTTACACATATATACATTTGACTTCATCTTTTATAATCTCTTTATTTAACATATTAATTACTAATTAATCATAACTACTGATATTTGACCTTGTCTTCTGCTATGTAACCATTGATAAAATTTATTCCATGTTTTATCATATTTAGACTCTCCTTTGTCTTTTATTTCTAAAGTTAACTTATCTGATTCTGCACATGCCATAATTTTTCTTATTATTTCTGTTTCTGGAGGAATGATTTCATTTTTCAAGTATTGTGCATATATTATTTTAGCCACCATCAATACATGTACTATTAGATACATTATTTCCTTCTTAAATTTTTCTGATGTTATTCCTAGAAGAAAGAAAATCCGCTTTAAATGGAATATATATTCCCACCATGTGTTCTATCCATATTTGAATATTTTTTTATAGCATTTCAGGTCCACCATATGTGAAAATATGTGCCTGACACATCTTTACACTTCTAACAATTTGGAGATATATTTTTAAATATTTTAGAAAGCCTTGCTGGTGGAAGATGCCACTTGTAAAACATCTTATTTTCTTTATAAGCCATAGCCGATGTTATTTTCTTATTTGTGGTCCAACATGTTTGCCATTTAGCCAATTCAATATTATAACCAATTTTTTTTGCCCATGCCACCATTGTTTCTTTAAAACATGTTCTTCCTCAAGTTTGTATTCTAATAAATACCTATACAATATTTTTTTGTTAATTTATCATCTGTCTCTATCAATAGCTTATCCAGAATTGTTAATTTTCTATTAATACCCTGTGTTTTTTTGTCTTGATTCTTGATTATATCTTCATTTCTAAATGATCGTCCACTAGGACTCCAAGATCCCTCTCAGAGTTATTGTTCTTGAGCCTTTGTGTACCTTTGGGTTTTCCTGCCTAGGTGTAAAATCTTGCTTTTCTCCACGTTCAATTTCATGTTGTTGGACAAGGCCCATTGTTCAAGTTTGTCAAATCATTTTGGATCCTGAGCTTGTCTCCGGTGGTGTTGGCTTAGTATTGCCTATAAATTGGATGAGTTCTGCTTCTATTACTCACCTAATTCATTTATGAAGATATTGAAGAGTACTGTAATGACCCAGGGTGGGATACAAAATAAATAAAGTCCCCAAAACAGGTGAACCCCTTTTATTCCTTTGCTTCAAAGCTCCAAATATCCTTGACTGGAGACAAAAAAAACTCCCCCACAAACAGTTGCGAGAAGGAGGAAATGCCGTTTAAACTAAAAATGCCTATAAATTATAAATAGTGAAAACAACAGAAACCACACTGAAGCAATTAAGGGAACCAGGCAAGATAAGGGCTCGAAGACGTCCACAGATATCGGAACACACACTGGGAAGGATGCCAAACTCAGAGAGGAACGACAGACTGCAGATATTTCCATGCTTTGTTTCCAGCACTGGCCCATACGCACGTCCGTCCTTTTAACCAGTTCTCACAGCTGCAGCCCATGAAGAGGATCAAGGCCCTTTCCTCCCCCGTAGACCACACCATTCATGTCTCTCCCTTATCCTCTCCTCCCTGTGTGCCCTAGGATGGAGAGGAGAGGGGCCTGAGTCTTCCTCTGACTGCCCAGCCGGCCCCTGCTCTTCCCCAGCCTCCTCCATGACCTCCGGAGCCGCACTTCCACTCCCTGATGGCTGTTCCTCCTCTCCCTCAGAGTCCGTCTCCAACAGGGGCATGACAAGTACTGGGCATAAGATGGAAGCTTACTTCCCTCCATGTAGATGTAGTATACCGTTAAGGACTACTCACTGAGTACGGTTTATCAACCAGTTACAAATCCACCTGGTAGTGATGCTGTCGATCCCACAATTTTTTCATTTAATTTTTAAGTGTTCCCATTCCGCTCTTGTCTTTCAGCTGTTTGGATCTACCGAATTCTCGTATTTTTTTATTTTATTTTTTTCAAATATAACTCTCTCTCTTTAAAAGTAAAAAAAAAAAAAAGGAATTTTAAATCCGCTAAATCAAACCTTTGAAGAAAAAAAAAAGAAGGTAAAAAAGACACAGTGGGACTTTGTATCCATGTCTTTATTTCAGAAGGAAAATCAAGTAAGCCCTCTTGAAAGGAAGGGGCTCTCGTAAAAGTAGAATAAAGTCAATCATTGTTTCCAACGGCATACAAAAATACACGTCTCCATGAATTCCATACAATAATAAATAAGTAATCATGCACCCCAATGATAGAAAGGCACACACAAAAATAAAAACCCTGGTCACTTTAGAATCATAAAATTACTATTAACAGAACCGCCCAAATAATCTGTACACAGCAAGGTAACAATATATCCCAAAGGTGCAAAACACATTTAAAACATCTTTCAAAATAGTACCGTGTTTCTCATAAAATAAGGCCGGGTCTTATATTTTTGGGAGCCCCGAAAAAACAGCCAGGCCGTCTTTTCGGGGGTGACTTAATTCCCCCCCTTGCGTCCTCATCTAGACCGCCCCGCGGGCAGCCTCGCCACCAGCTGCTCCTAACGGGTGATCATGGTGAAGTGCAGAGAGCTCCCTACTCCCACGAAACACCTTTGCTGCAGACCCAAGACCTTTGGCACCCGCCGCTGTTGCTTTCCCTTCTGCCCATTCCGCCGCCATGTTTGGAGCTGCCACTTCCGTGTTTGGAGCTGCTGCCGCCGCCGTTTGGAGTGTCGCCGCCATTTGGAGCACTGCCGTCATGTTTGGAGCTGCCACTTCTGCGTTTGGAGCTG